AAACACATGTTTTAGCGTCACAGACCCTCACAGAAATGAATTTTCAGATCAGGTAAATAAATGCCTTGAACCATGCTCAGATATCAAAATTCAGTGGACGTGCTGTCCGTTGCTTTTCAGGTTTTGCTTTATTCATGAGATGGTCGTGGTATAAAAGTTCATCCTAAAAAAGCATGGTTGGCATAGTGGCTTATTTCTTACCTTAATCAGCATATCAGCTATTGTTTTATACGTACGTGGTTCTTTGTAGGGGGGAATCAACTTCCTGTATCTAGTAAAGTCCAATGTACATGCATATCATTGGACAGAATTACTTTCCAAATGGTAGTGTTTATTGATATAATATATATTAAATCCTCGATATAATGCATCTCGTTTCATTTGCTATCTCGTTTACCGCCAAGATAATTCAATATCTCTTTTTTCTCGTTTTCTGAAGAATTCCTTTTACATTTCCCTCAATTTACGGCCAAACCCCATTATAATGCCAATATTTCTCAGTACAACTGGTGGCAGTATAACGAGGTTTTACTGTTGTATTTTTGTCTTAAACTAAACAACAAAATTTAAAACAGCAAGCGTTGTAGCACGTGGTTTTCTCACAGAAACTGGGTTAACCAGCCGATGTGCTTACCCTAAATGCTGAAGGTTTAGTATGATTTAACAGCTACCATTTTAAGGACTTTAGTATATCATGGTCCAGGGGTAGATTTTTTTATTTTGGAGGTTGATTACGAAATGTTTGAAGAACAAAGATTTCATGTTCATAACGGCCTGTTTTCTGTACTAGATTCCGGTATAATTGTCTAAGGTATAAATCCCATTTCCAATGACCAACTAGTTCATGTGTTCTTTACATAACTATTACGTTTCTTTATTTACTTAACCATTACACATACACACAAGCACGCATACACAACACACATAGAGGCACGCCCTTAATACGTCCGTAGCTGGTTATAGGACATTTGACAAAAGAAAGTCAAAACAAGCCAACTCTAATCTCACAAGTTGGGTCCGATCGGACATAAGTTGTTTTACCTTTTTGGTGACCGAAAGAACAAGTTGACAAAACAATAACAGCGTCCTTTTACAGTTATGATCATTTAAGGATGTACCGCCATTAAAAAATATCAAAGCTTAACCAAACGAGTGTTCCTTACCGTTTCCGAGCATACAACAATATCCCTCCAGGTGTTCTCTGTATGCAACTTTGACAGTACTCGTCCAATTGTGTCTGTCGTTAAAGGGACTATTTCCAGCTATGACAAAATTAGCCTGCCACTCATAATTTTTGTTTCAGAAGTGCTACGAGATTTAGGCTGCTGATTTAACATTTTTCAATCCCTTATACATCTGTAGTTGTTACTTTAAATCACTCTTCTAGTAACAGCATGGGGGTCAAAAAATAGAATATCAGACTAAAAGTATTTTTTTGAGAAAATCGTTTATTTTGCATTGTTATACTTGGAAAATGACATTTTCTTCATTTTTCTTCATCCAGAATTCAACTTTAATTATAGATTGTGGTGACTACATCAGTGGAGTTTGACAAATTCGGATGAAAATTGTAGGAGTTGTCCAAATACGTCTGAAGACGGATAGACAACTTAATTCTAGTATACAAACTAAGTTTGATGCAGAAGTGTAAAAATAAGTATGCACAACTAACGTATAAATTCAACTTCAATAACGTAAGAAAATTGAAAAAAAAGTACCCCTTTTGTTTATTACTATTGATCTTTGGGTTAACGAACTAGCAAGAACTTTATTCCGTGTCAGTGATATGCCAGGATGGCACCCCTTTGGTGTAACAAAGGGAAATAACTCATTTTAAACACGAAGTTAGGTTGTGAAAACATCAAAGTCAACTTAAGCGATAATTCTGAACTTTATCACCACAAAAACACATTGAGTTTCAGCAAATCTTCCATATATCAACATCAAAGGACATTATAGTCTTGAGCCACTACTCATTTTAAGGATCCCTGTCCCACTGCACTGTGTTATTCCTATATGCAGTAACATCCCCTTAACATACGTTTGGTTATAACTGTAGTGTGTTTTGGCCAAGTCACTTTCGTTGATGTGGCAGCTCAATCGGTTAGAGCGATATCAAAACAATATGATGACCATAGTACGAATCCCGATCTGGCCCCGTTCATTTTACCACTCAGATAACTGCTGTTAATTCATATTTTGTTGATTTCATATCTGTTATCTCTCATGAAAGCTTGCAATGTATGGTTTTCTTACATAATATCAAAATCCTCTTATTGTGAAGTGTTTTGGTCAATTGATTGTCGAATACCTCGGGAATCTTGAAATTTTGACGACATCCACATAACGAAGGTAACATGTAACTTCTCTGTTACCTTTTAAGTAGTAATCAAAATAATAGCACACCTAATTTATGTTGGCAACTAGTCTCCAATGTTGTAACCTTATAACGGAAACCAGATGCTGGTATTCCATTATCTCGAATATCCGGGTCTCCGTCATTGTACATATACATGTATATCAATGACCTTTTTCACGGCTAAATTTCATGTTGTTTCCAACACGCTGCATGCTTATGTTTGAATTAGAGGAGTTTGTATCCATGTTTATTCCAGTCGATAGGGTTGTAAAAACGGAATGTGTCGAAGAAGCGGGATTTTTCTTTGTAATTGTGATACTCCTGGAACATCGTACACAGAGTCGTGTGTATCAGTGTCACTTCCGTTTCCGGTTTTAAAAGACGTCATATCATCCATTCCTCTCTCTTCTGTGGTTCCTGCAATTTATAAATCGTACTGGATTTCACTTAGAAAACGTTTAAGAAAGATAGCAAGATTCCTCTCGCGAACATAAATATGAGGTTTGCTACATCATTGGACTGCAATTTTATTTTACAGTTTTATTTGATTTCATGTTGCCTTAAAGAACGGAATTTCTGCCTAAGTATAAACAGTTTTCATTTCCGAAGTCAAAGCTATATACATAATTATCCTATGTACACATTGCATTACGCACATATGGAGGCACGTCCTTAGATGGCTTTAGCTGTTGACCCTATAAAACTTAACCCTATACAACTGTAGAAAAATGAGTGTATCAGTGACATTTGTGCTATCTACCTCTAACAGTGTTATCCAGTATGATGGAAGTTAATCCAGACACAAACATCTGTGTCCCGAAGATCAGCTTCAGCACCTGGTCCAAGGAGGCATTACCTGTACAAAAATACAATATCTTGAGCGAGGTACGATTTATAGATTCTTTGTCGTAGTTCAGACGACTTAATTCCTGCATGGCGTATATAGATAGTTTGAAATATGTAATCAGGACCAACATGCGAGGCTATTTGTATCGTTTGCGATATATTGTTTTGTCACTAAACAGTAGATTCCAGCGATTTTAAACAAGACACAATGACAAAATTCTGAACCTTGCTTTCGCGCATACTTAGTTATATTGTTTTGTAAATTATTGAATGAGCCCACGTACCCGTATCAATGCTGTCTTTGTTGAGTTTAAGCCATTCGGAAATGACCAAGCCTGTGTACAATGATGTACCCAGTACCGCAAGATTACGAGTGGATGACAGGTTTACCCTTTGTAGCGATGACAACCCTACGGATACCAGCAATCCAAATAAGACTATAGTCACTCCCCCCATAACCGGATCCGGAATTGACGCCATTACTGCACCAAATTTACCAATAACTCCGAAAAGTAGGCAAACGAAGCCGGCCAGAATCATGACACTCCGACTAGCAACCTGTATAAAAAGCATAGAATGTGGCTGATTTGGTAAGCAGTAACGATAACCTCAGCATGAACAATTGAACACTCTTTGGTTCACAAACCTGTCTATAACAACAAAATTACTAAGGATATTTCAAATTTGTTTCTGAGAGGCAAATATAAAAATATTGATATTAATACTATGAAATGAGGCTTAAATAGAACTTAATCGTTCAGGGGTAAGTACGACTATATTTGGGGTTGCAAATGCATTACTAAAGATGTTTGGCGATATAACGTGAAAACTGAACAAAAATAGTGCTAGAAAAAGAAAATTAAAATGTATAGGCGGTAAACGAAGTTACAATGATACGAGGGACACTGTATCGAGATCCTTCAATGTTATTAAACGGTAATTAATACCTCTTCATATTATGAAAATCATTTTGCTTTCAATTATTGTTACTGAAATTTATTTAATACATATTCATTCAAATCAGTTGTAGTCATACTTCTGTGATCTTTATGATAACAACGTTGTCACTGTATGACGTCGTAGCATGCCCGGCCCCCAGGGCCCCTGCCACCACCCCCATAACGCCCTCTGTCAGTATCCCTCGGTTGATTGCATGACGGGGTGGAGGAAAGGTTCCTGTGGCCCGGGAGACAATCATGTAATCCCCTATGGATTCCACATTTGAGGACAAATAGGAACTCACAAACCCAATGAAAATCGCTGTATTGAAACGGGGTGGACCAAACTGACCTAGAAAACAAAAAGAGTTATTGTCACTTGTTTATAGCCATTAGGGCAGATGCAAATAATTGATCACAAACCTTATTCTTTGCATATTCGGGGAAAGAATATACCAACTGTAACCCACTGCATGATTTTAAGAGGTGATTTATACGCAGACCCCGGCATAATTCTGTTTTCCTCTGCTCGAAATATGCACTATTAAAACGTAAATGATAATAGTGAATATTTTGACAAATGTAATTATGGTCCGATTTCTGGCATTGCTATTACCGTCTCGTCAGAGCATTTTGGGTACTGTGTAAAGAATAAACCTGATGTAACCTACTGCAGGCTGCAAGAGGCAACTGATAAGCAATCAGTACATATTTATTCCTGCATTACACACATAGAGCTGTCCTTAAATGACCTAAACTTTTAATAAAACGTTAAACAACAAAATACCGAACCATTGCTGACAACCTAACGTGTCAGATCTCATGAATTTGTCAACTATTAATGACTGTCGTAACCATAACACCATTCAAACTTCCCGCCTTCTGTAACATTTTTGATGTCTTTATTGTCATTAATTACCATCATCTGAATTCAAAATATCATCGTAACATAAGGCCAAAACTTTTGAACCAAATCCTGATCACCTAATAAAATTATCATATTACAAAACGCAGATAACCGTTAATTTGCTATCTTCGCACGAAAATATTGTAATACGAGATAATACATACATGTTTAGGATTTACCTGGGTAAGGGAAGAAGAGCCACGGAGACATGGATATCAGATCTCCACGTGCGTCTGTCCGGGCTCCATATGCAGGGTCACTTGGGTCATCGGGAAAAACCCCTGCCAAGGTCAGGACCCCACACAGTGTCCATGTTATCACCACAGTGATGAAAAGCTATTGCGCGCAATTGATGACGTCAGTAATTAACACAGCACATAGAAAGCAACGTCAGAGTACAAACGGCAAACGAGATATCAGCATCGGAAATCAACACAAACATCAGCGTTTTAGAAACAAATAACAAAAGCGATGATGTAAATTTTAATAGCAACACAAAAAGGTTAAGAAAATAATTATATCAAGAATAAACGAATTCCTAGAACAAAACTGTTAACAATTCCTTTTGAAAATCAATTTCTGAAGAAAAATGTCTTCATTTTAGGAATTAAGACATATGTCAGTGATATTGTAGAATATCACAAAATAGGATTTCAGCAAAAAAAAGGAGAACTTACCGGAAATATCTGAAAAAATGGCAGTTTTGGGTTTTTGTTGGACTCTATAACCTTATTCCTGTTGCAACGCATTGTGGGTATCGTGACGTAGATTCGTGTAAGATACATGATAAACACAATCATCATGACAGTACCGCTGTAACAAATACGAACGTTTTAGGCATCATTATTGCTTTTGTTCTTGAAGTTGTTAATACAATAATTCATACAGGGCCACACAGTACTCTTAACAGCTGATATGCAGAGTAAATTCAGAAAAGGTCACAAGGAGGTATTAAATGGCCATACCTACAAAAAGGTTATATAGGATCACACGGTAGTATTAATGGTCCACATTCATGAAAAGGTCATACGGGGGCCAACGGTTGTTTTAACAGTCCATATACACAATAAAGTCATACATGGTCCCACAATAGTTTTTACAGTCCACAGACACAATAAAGTCACACAGGGTCACATGATAGTTTTAACAGTCCATATACACAATAAAGAAATAAGGGTCCCACGATAGTTTTTACAGTCCACAGACACAATAAAGTCATACAGGGTCCCACAATAGTTTTTTACAGTCCACAGACACAATAAAGTCATACATGGTCCCACAATAGTTTTTACAGTCCACAGTCACAATAAAGTCATACAGGGTCACATGATAGTTTTAACAGTCCACAGTCACAATAAAGTCATACAGGGTCCCACAATAGATTTTACAGTCCACAGACACAATAAAGTCATACAGGGTCCCACAATAGTTTTAACAGTCCATATACACAATAAAGACATAAGGGTCCCACAATAGTTTTTACAGTCCACAGTCACAAAAAAGTCATACATGGATCACACGGCATTCTGAACAGTGAATAAACACTTAAATGTCATACAGGGTCATACGGTATTTTTACCAGTCAATTTTCAATTGTTTTACATCCGCACCCCAATGTTATAATATGAGACAAAAATGTCATTAACAGGAATAAGTGTTTTTAGACCATTACGATACCTATCACTAATAGCGATTATGATGCTGTTGACTGATTAGAACACCTGGGGGGTATCTTGCAACACACTTCAGGGTTTACATCCAATCAGAGTTCGAGATCTTATCTTGTGGCATATTAATGTTACCTACATATATTTATAACCATTTAATTTTAAGGACGAATCGATTTGAATTAAAAATTACAAAAACAACTCAAAGAACTATGTATGGTTTGGGCGTGTTTTGGCCCCCAAATGCATACAAATTCAAAACCTTGAAATAAACTTTCAAATGACTGTTTCTTCATTTCTATTACTCCCAAATACTATCATGAAAATATTTATTTGTAATTTTAATTATTGTTGCCACGGTAACAAGATCAAATTTGCATAAATTAGAAGAAAAAAATTGTATGTTCAGTTAATATTGTCATATTTTGTATAGTATTATTCCGAAAACTATAAAACGCATGCTTGAACAAACTTAATATCAAAGGATAATGTGTAGGCACCTGTAATCATCTTCCACATGTACATAATAAATATTTTTCATGAGAAATATTGAGTTTGTTCAAGGGTGCGCTCTTTGGTAGCTAAGGGAAAAACTGAATAATCAAATTTCATTAGTTTATGCAGATATTAACTGGTTACCATGGCAACCATTATTGAAAACACAAATAAATGTTTACATAATAGTACCGGGAAAGTATTCAAAATTGAAGAAACAGTCATTTGAAAGTTATACTGAAGATTTTAATTTCGATTGATTTTGAGGGGGAAAAACGTCCAAACTATACATAGTCCTTTTCTAGAGTCGGGAAGAAGAAACTTTATGACGTCACACAACTCACCAAACAGCCACTGGAAGGTACTTGCTACAGTAGAATATAGGGATTGGGTACAAAGATAATCCAAGTGAAGTAACCGTCACACAAACTGTTATAGGTCCAACTAGTTTTACTAGGTATCCCAGAAGGCCAGTCCCACCAAGAAATACTTCTGTTACCAGACCGGAAACCATCAAACTTCCCTGAAGCTAAATGATCAATCAAGGTAACAGCAACTATGTCAGGAAAATACAATACACGTAACTAACTTTCCAGTAATGCACTGTTAATCACTTCATGTTATGTATTTATCATTTTGATAGGATATCAAATACATGTTACCATGATACGGAGTTATCGTAAATAAAACCATTGATGGCTAACGTTTATTTGTAATGAAATATATCATTTTATTTATTTGATCATTTGGAGCTTGTCGTTATTGACGTTGTAGTTTTCTTCATGAGTGTATTGTCCATTGAAAACAATTCATATATGTAATAAATGTAAAAAAATATTTTGTTTCTATGTAAATAGGGGTTACCTGCGTAACCCGGTAGTAAACCATTTCCTGTTTTGTCGTCATGGTAACATTCTGAAGCAGTGTCTGATTGGTTGACATCGAAACTGAAAGATAAACGGTTGATAAAACAAAACAATTGCATAAATGTCATCCAAAATAATATTTTGCGATATAATAAACGTTAAGATTATGTTGAGAGTTTAGGTAGAGAGATGAGAGGTTTGTGTTTTATCATCAACAAAGAAGACTTTCGATTTATTAGTATTTTTTCCTAGTTGGAGATGCTTCCCCTTCCACCATAGCTAAGACATTTACACGAAAGAAATACACGTATGTTGGAACTCCCTGCAGAATTGGTCATTTTGAGGACACACACGCGACCAAAATAAATGCTGCACTCATTGCAATATTTGGGATCCTTATTTTTCTCTTTACTTTCAACAACATTGTATTTCCTAGCGCCTTGCTTGGCAATGCCTAACTTTTTGCTTTAATGCTGAACGTTCGCCCACATGAAGAAGGCATTAGGTCAGCGCCAGGCTGGATCATACCAAAGTAGTTCAACATGGAATTATTCCTTGCTCAACGTTCAGCATTTAGTTTAATGGCAACAACTGGTACACCCGTTGTCAGAATAATGTGACAGGACAGAATGTTGTGTTGGGTGCCTTCGGCATGGTATTTCAGTGAGGTAGCACTATAAAGTCGGCATCAGATCCGCGTTATCACAAGGAGGCAAATACACCAACATACCCTGCCTCCAGCTCACATACACACATGCACGCATACCAATCACACATGGAGGCACATCCTTAAATTACTTAAGCTGCTAATAGTACGTTAAACAAAATTAAACCATACCAAATAAAAACCTTGACAATCGGGATTTGAATTCCTGACATAATGTTTAAACAAATGCTTAGTAGGAAGCTATGCTATCAAACATATGTATTATGTCATAACTAGAAGCTTTCAAGTGGTTCTAACTTCCTAAAATGGATCGCACAGCACAGAATGTCAATGTCTGCTTAGAGTAGAAAGTGATGGGCCTCTTTTTGTTTGGCGGTGCTATTCATATGAGCCGTTGCTAGGACTTTAAACCAAATAAAAGGAACAAAAACGAGGTATCCGTCTTTATATTTCATTATCTATTGCAAGGATGTGGAACTACAAACATACAAACAAAACAACACGAAGAGTCCTCGCGATTTCCTACTTTTCGAAAAATTTTGTTCAATGGGGTTTAACGTACTCGAACTAAGGCCATGTAATGGCGAGTGCTTAAGGAAACATCGCCGAGAATATAGTAGGCGAGAGTATCAAAAAAGGTGTATATATCCCATCTGTTGTAATGGAGGTAACATTATCAATTATCTCCGGGTAAGGAGGAGTCTACGGGCTCATAGACCCCGTCTGGTTTGTATAGACCCCGAGCCAAAGGCGCGGTGTCTATAAAGACCAAAGGGTTTTTTGAGCCCGTAAACCCCTCCTAACCCAGAGATAACGAATTTGTCACCCTGACAATCTTCTGTTACATTTTTTCCTGCAAACTTATAAGTCACTTTGTGAGTTTGAGTTGTACTTGCCTGCTACCAAAATAGCACCTAGGCCTACCGGACAACTTTTGAATAGTTTTCACAACCATCTTTGCAATTATCACCCTAACGGCCCCCTCATTGCCTGTTTCGTTGAATTTGCTATCGTTTTAGATTGTTTGTAGGCTATTTCATCCTGTGAATGATTTGCAAACCCTCGAACGCTTGTGTGTGTTTGTCGGACACATTCTTTGTTGGTATGAAGAGCGATTCTAGTTTGAGTTATCTCCCCTCGCACGTGCTTTTATAGAAATATAGACCCCGGCAGATTTCCAATCAGAAAGAGTGTTTCAAATAAGATAAGTGACAATACAAAACACAAAAAGAAAAAATATCTGGTGGTCTCACATTATTCGGCTCTTACGACATCCAGTGGTATACATCAGGTGTATTCTCTCTTCAAACGAACCTTCTTACATTTTAATATCTTTGTGATTGACTGTGATTTCTGACTGTGTCCTTCTACTCGAGTAACTTACCTCAGATGCATAACAAAATATCGTTAGAATTGTTGTATCACGTGACATACCCGAATCCATCTCGCCGGTGCTGTCACATGACCATACCCCAGACGATTTCATGGCCAGCAACGGCCCAAGGAAAGCAGCGGAAACGCCTTGAAGCATGGGAAGTCTGAAACAAATCGCCAGTTTATAAAACTACTTTCAGAAGCCCTGCACACACTGAAATCTGTTTTTAAAACAGCTATATCCCGTAGTTAGTTCATTTCTGAATTCTGGATTAAAAGGTAGAATGAAAAACAACTATTGTTGATTTTAAGATTATATAAGTTATGATGCCTTACAGACACCGAAGTGGACTTGAAAGCAACTTCAAATGGCATTTTCATGTCCGTAAAAAAGATACATTCAGGTCTTATTGGCATATTGAGGTTGATTATTGAACTTAAATATCAACAATATTTGAAATATGAACTCAAGCCAAAATCTCTTGTAGGAAACACATTGCTTTATAAGTCCCATCCGGTCCATCCTCGGCTTTACGCTCATTTACGATATCTGCACCCTTGGAATATGTCATGATGAAATCCAAGTTACATGGCTAACTATTTGATTGGTTCCAGGTAAAAACAAACCTGACCAATTGCTACGCTGATACCTGTCCTTTGGAGATAGCAGAGGAACGGTACCCGACCTCATAGCCAGTACATTTGACCGTTTCAATCTCTTGCGATTTCTTTTATGTACATCAAAGGATCAGGTCTACTCGTATCATTCACAAAGTGGCGCTTCCAGTCTTCGATATTGTCGTGATATATTCCAGTGATGCAGAGAACGTATAAGATCGTAACCCCTGGAATTGTATATCGTATATTGTCATCAAACTGTATAAAATACGAAGTCAAAATGAAAACTCACCTTATGCCGACAGCACTCTGGACGACCGTGGTCAATCCTACCACGAAAACCGACGTGCAGAAAAGCTTAGCTCTGATTGGGTCGTTCTTCTCTGCACAGACGAGGTCTGCGATTGTGACACTAATCAGCAAGTTACCCCCAAAGGACAACATTACATTCTATGAGAATATAAGACATCAATTAACATATATTGTTATATCTCTTTCATCTTACATCGTATCTGATTGGATTGGATAAGACACGTGACGTAAAAATGAAATATTTCCCCAAATTCATTGGGTGGTTATTAATATATTAACTGCATATATTATTTTGTATTTTTTCCATTGTGATACAATTAGCTAGCAATTAACTTGTACGTGGGCAAACATAGACGTCGCCCTATCGATTAATGTCCCCATTTTGGATAACACGGGGGGAAAATATTTCATTTTCCACAAAAATGAAAGAACTTCAAATAGTGAAAAATAGACCCCAGCCAGTATCTTATACCTAAAATGAATACGGACATAAACAAGACAGATCTGCTTAAATATAAATAAAATAATATGTATGCAGATAGTATATACATCATAACATATTTGATAAAGAAACATCAGAAATGTTTTTTGTACCATTCTTAGTAAGTACTACAACTAGGCCCATCACCCCTCCTAAAAATGCTGTTGAATTTGATGAATATACCTGTATGGCTAAAATCAGTGACAACAATATGGGTGGACTTTCCCCGACACCGTAACGCAATGGCGGAACATCCGGGTACTTTCTTGCCTCGTTGTGGGCTTCCTCTGCTACATCCGGTACTAAACTTGTTACTTCCAATGCGCCTTTTCCATTCATGTCATTTGGCGATGCGCATTTATTCTCGCTACTGTACAAGTTCGTATCCATTATGTTGACCATACTGCAATATCCAACGTGACTTTGTTGAATGAATAATACATATGTACATTTTATCAATAAAATTAACATAAAAGCTGTGCGATATACAGAATAACGAAGTTGCTGAGTCAGACTAACGCATCATACTACTGGCTGTAAATTGAAAAGATTTTGGATCCACATACTTACGTCGTACCGAAAATTCATATAAAAATATATACACGGCTTCATTTGTTGAAACTGTTCTACTTGTTTTCTTTTCTTTTTTTTCTATTTTTTTGTTATCTATTTAATTAATTATTATTTTTGTGTTGTATTGTTGTTGTTGTTTTCAGTGTTATACGAGCTATGAGGTAACATTTGACAGCAAGTTTATTCATTGGACTTCTGGTACAACCATCATTTAAGCTGATAGGTCAATAAGTAGAATTGAGTAAACGTATTAGTCTGTATCAAATGACATTCTGATGGCTATCATCAGTGTGTATTAGGTCACCTAAGACAAAATCCCAAGTGACCTATTCTAATCGCCTTTTGGCCGTCGTCGTGCGTCCGTAAACAATTAACATTTTCGATTTTTTTCTCACAAAACCTTGAACCAATTACAATGAAATTGTGCAGAAGCCTTCCATGGCCAATTATGCTTAATATTTGCGAATAATATAGTCCCCGCCCCTAGGGTGTCTGAGGGGCGGGGCCAAAAGTGGTCAAATTAGCTGAAATTTCGACAATCTTCTGCTGGAAACAAATACTCTTCATACATAGAAGGGTCTTTAGGTGCTTTGTCATAATTGTGAATTTCGTTACCCATGGGCTCCACGTTCACCCCTGGGGATGGGCTAAAGATAACTATAGTTTATTTAGGGAAATGATAATTTGGGTATATTGCGTTCATTTTCAATTGGAAATAATTCAAAAATGATTAAAATTATAACCCTGAGATGACAGTTTGACACTTTGAAAATTTTGAGCCTTCCCACCCAAAGAAGCTGAGGGCCTAAAAGGGTCAAACTTGTTTACATTTCAACAATCTTCTTTTTCTTCAAACCCAGATACGCTTGAAACACATACTATTCATACATGGAAGAGTTTTGAGCTTCTTTGTCAAAATTGTGAGTTTCATTACCCATGGGCTCCACGTTCGCCCCTGGGGAGGGGCTGACGTTTACTATAGTTTATGGAGGAAAATGATACTTAGGGTATACTTTGTTCATTTTATATGGGGGAAAAAATAAAACTTGATAAGAATTATAACCCTGAAATGAGAATTTGATACTAAGAACATTTTGAGTCTGGCCCATCCCCAGGCCCTGAGGGGCGAGGCCCAAATGCGTCAAATTGGCTTGAATTTCACTAATCTGCTCCACACTCGGATACATTGGAAGCAAACACTTTTCATTATCAGAAGGTCTTTGTCAAAATTATGAATTTCATTACTCCGATATTTCACGTTTATATTATATAGGAAAATGATACTTAATTAAAGGTTAACTGGAATTATAACCCTAAGATGACAGCTTGTTACTATGAGACACAGGAGCTGGGGGGCATGCATCAAAGTGGTCAAATTGGCTTAAATTTCAACAATATTCTTCAGACCCAGAAATACTCTTTTTATATAGATGAAAGGGTTTAAAGATGGTTTATCGAAACTTAGATGAATTTACTGTAGTTTCTGTAGGAAAATTATACTTTTGGGTATGTTGGTTCATTTTCAGTTTGGCGAATTTCAAAATCGGTTGGAGTTAAATTGTTTATGCATGAGAAGGGGCTGAAGGGTTGGGCCCAGAATGAGGAGTCGGAGGTCCTATGAACATTTGACCGTAACCAACCTCCAGGGGCTGAAGGGTAGGGCCCAGAATGAGAAGTCGGAGGTGCTATGAACATTTGCCCGTAACCAACCTCCAGGGGCTGAAAAGTCGGGCCCAGAATGAGAAGTCAGAGGTCCTATGAACATTTGACCGTAACCAACCCACAGGGGCTGAAGGGTTGGGCCCAGAATGAGAAGTCGGAGGTGCTATGAACATTTGCCCGTAACCAACCACCAGGGGCTGAAAAGTCGGGCCCAGAATGAGAAGTCGGAGGTGCTATGAACATTTGACCGTATCCAACCCCCAAGGGCTGAAGGGTGGGGCCCAGAATGAGAAGTCGGAGGTGCTATGAACATTTGACCGTAACCAACCCCCAAGGGCTGAAGGGTGGGGCCCAGAATGAGAAGTCGGAGGTCCTATGAACATTTGGCCGTAGCCAACCCCCAGGGGCTGAAGGTTGGGGCCGAGAATGAGAAGTCGGAGGTGCTATGAACATTTGACCGTAACCAACCCCCAAGGGCTGAAGGGTGGGGCCCAGAATGAGAAGTCGGAGGTGCTATGAACATTTGACCGTAACCAACCCCCAGGGGCTGAAGGGTTGGGCCCAGAATGAGAAGTCGGAGGTGCTATGAACATTTGACCGTAACCAACCCCCAGGGGCTGAAGGATGGGGCCCAGAATGAGAGGTCGGAGGTGCTATGAACATTTGCCCGTAACCAACCCCCAGGGGCTGAAGGGTGGGGCCCTGAATGAGAAGTCGGAGGTGCGAAAATTTCTTTGACTCAGACATGCTAGAATAAAATACTCTCCATTCTTATATCTGCAAACTAATCATAGGATAAGGCAGTTTTGGTGGTGTTTTTTTTAAATAATTTAATATTTGTGTTATATTTTAATATTTAAGTCATATTTTTTTTTAAATATCAGAAGTCGGGTGACCGTTAAGGACCATGGGCCTCCTGTTCCGATTAAGCCTCCCCGAACCTGCCTTACCCTGCTTAAATAAAGATTGTTTTTTGATGACACTGACCATGCATTCTCTTTGTACATTAATTAACTGTCCCGTGTGTAGTTATACAACCAGCGCTCCTAATGTTCGCGCGGTCAACAATATCACGTGAGCAGCTTGTGACAAAAATCTGATGAGAAATTAGAATACAATGGAAAACAATACAAAAGCTGCCGATGCACATATTTGCCATATACACCTGTATACCACCTTGTAAATATTCATTTGCAGGACTCGTTATGTTCGATTTAATCTAAAACCTAATCCATATCACGTTCCCTTAACTTCTATTTCATCTCAAGTAATATTCCATTCATTAATGTGCGTTTCGTGTTTATGATATCAGTTGTAAGTTAGACAGAAAAATATCTCCAATTAGCAAAGGTTCATGACTGGTACACCGTTTGAAAACGCTGGATGAACTTATATAAATAATTAATATTACTTAATTCGAAATCCCTGACAGTGCCTTGTGTCCCAGGGAATTCTCGTAAGGAGATAAATACAACAACATATATCCAGTACACGCATGGATGGTATATTATATATGATCTAAGCTGTTTATAGGAACATGAATCTTCTCAAAGAGAGAGGGACAATTTATTTTAGATTAACATTAGCGGAAAAACGTGTTTTTTTAAAAGAAATCCACAAGCAATTACGTAAAAAAACATGTAGAGTCGATGAAACAGGGGCTCAATTTGAACACAGGTAAAAGTACACAAATAATAGGACCATGTGTTCCGAATGGTAAGCGTCTTCTGCTATATCGACGACAACCTTCATGTACATCAAGGTCAAGTCAAAGAAATGGCATGTCTTCCAATTAAGAACTGGGGTAGTGACTTCACACCAACGAAGTACATCAATGTGTATATATTACGATATATATATATATATATATGAGTGAGCAATACACCTGACGGAAATTTATAAATGGGTTCAAATTGACAGAAATGATAACCATAGAAAACACATCTTTGATAAGACCTTAAGGAGAACGCTTTCTTCATAACAGTCAACATTTCCCAAGTGTACGTGTTACGCAGGAAATTGTGATAAAATTATCAATACAATATTTTAACTGTATGCAAAAGTGTACTAGTTGAACAAAGATAAAGATAGACTTCGCTAATTCTACCCCACCCCACCCCACCCCACCCCACACCCCCATCCCGCATTCGTCGCCTCGTGTGATTATACATCGATGCAAAAAAAGACCAATCATCATTTTCAACGAAACTGATATTATTTCTGAAACATACATGACTTACCTTATAATATATACAAATATGGTATCCTACAAGGACTTCATACAAAAACACATGTTTTAGCGTCACAGACCCTCACAGAAATGAATTTTCAGATCAGGTAAATAAATGCCTTGAACCATGCTCAGATATCAAAATTCAGTGGACGTGCTGTCCGTTGCTTTTCAGGTTTTGCTTTATTCATGAGATGGTCGTGGTATAAAAGTTCATCCTAAAAAAGCATGGTTGGCATAGTGGCTTATTTCTTACCTTAATCAGCATATCAGCTATTGTTTTATACGTACGTGGTTCTTTGTAGGGGGGAATCAACTTCCTGTATCTAGTTAAGTCCAATGTACATGCATATCATTGGACAGAATTACTTTCCAAATGGTAGTGTTTATTGATATAATATATATTAAATCCTCGATATAATACATCCAGTTTCATTTGCTATCTCGTTTACCGCCAAGATATTTCAATATCTCTTTTTTCTCGTTTTCTGAAGAATTCCTTTAACATTTCCCTCAATTTATGGCCAAACCCCATTATAATGCCAATATTTCTCAGTACAACTGATGGCAGTATAACGAGGTTTTACTGTATTATTTTCGTGCTAAACTAAACAACAAAATTTAAAACAGCAAGCGTTGTAGCACGTGGTTTTCTCACAGAAACCGGGTAAACCAGCCGATGTGCTTACCCTAAATACTGAAGGTTTAGTATGATTTAACAGCTACCATTTTAAGGACTTTAGTATAGCATGGTCGAAGGGTAGAAACCATTACCTTCCTCACATTAGAAAACGTTCCTTTATACGGCCAAATGTGAGGAGGTGCCGTGGGAGGGGTTGGAGAGAATTCTGTAAACTGAGATATTTTCGTATGGCCCACATTGCATGGTTTCCCGACAAAAAAACATTTCGTGGGCTTATGAATTCGTGAATTGCACGTACTCCCTAACGTGTAATTACTTCGTGGGTTAAGATTATCCACGAAATCAAAGAAATAATAAACTCACGAAAATTAGTGATTCCACAGTAAGGATACAAAAAGTCGTACCAAATCAAACTGTTTCCGCCTTGCTGAAAGAGTAATTGAAAACCAAGCATGTCTTTGTATCATATTCAAACTTTGACGGGAATCAGCGAGCACTTTCTGATTGGTAAAAATGGAAACACGAACTTTTGCTGCGTCTTATAATGAAAAACAAGGATTTCATTTTCATAATCGCCTGGTTTCGTTTCTCGATTACGGTATAATTTCTGAGATATATTTCACTATGACAAACTAGTTTCATGTGTTCTTTACATAACTATTAAGTACGTTTCTTTTTTTACTGAACCAATACATATACACATAAACATACACAACACACATACACAACACACATACACAATACACAACACACATACACAACACACATACACAACACATACACAATACACAACACAACACACATACACAACACACATACACAACACACATACACAACACACATACACAACACACATACAAACAAGCACATACACATAAGCACACACACAAGCACATACACACAAGCACATACACACAAGCACGTTCACACAAGCACGCACACACAACACACATGGATGCACGTCCTTAACACGTCCTTAGTTGTTAATAGGACGTTACGACATATGTTGTTATTTACCGTTTTTATTGACCAAAGGAACAAGTTGACAAAACAATAACGACGTCCCATTTACAGCTAATATCATTTAAGGACGTGTCTCCGGAAATAAAATAAAAACAAACTAAATCTTAACCAAACGAGTGTTGCTTACCGTTTCGGAGCATACAGCAATATCCCTCCAAATGTTCTCTGTACGCAACTTTGACAGTACTCGTCCAATTGTGTCTGCCGTTAAAGGGACTATTTCCAGCTATGTCAAAATTAGATAAGAACGTTACATGTGTGACCCAGATATTCATCAGTACGAGCCAATAACTGTATATACAATTTTCATTTTTTTTTCCAAATTTTACATACGACTTATCTTGCCTGTTGTCTGTGTATGTCTTCTGAGGAGACTATCTTGCCTGTTGTCTGTGTATGTCCTCTGAGGAGACTATCTTGCCTGTTGTCTGTGTATGTCCTCTGAGGAGACTATCTGGCTTCTGTCTCGGCTACTGACAATTCCTCTATGTATTTACAGGTAATCGTCATGACATTTCTTCCCATTTGTAAATCAAGTTCGTTAACTCCTTTATTGCCCCGGAATCGCCTGTGTAGATGATAGACAGACAATGACGTAAAGAGACGATATTGGACAAAGCGACCGCTTTTATACGCTATAGATCTTTAACTCTCGTAGCAGGAAATAGCGACGAGAGGTGCCTCTCTAATTGTATACCGTAAATACACGGAGACCTGTACCTATTATAGAATATTGTGTAATGTAATGTTAATGTAATGTTACCTGTTATGTACAAAATGTCCCGTTAGCCAGGTAATGTGAACGACACATTCAGACCAATCTGACGTTGGTCCACATTACTGAGATCTAAACCTTCTCCGATCAGTTCTTTACATACACTGTTATTTATGGATGTGGCTCATGCCTGTCATCGGTGCCAGTTTCTGTATCCCATCTTTGTTGCTACATTAATAATAGAAGTCATTGTACTTCATAGTAGTTTATTATTCATCTCGTCTTCAAAAATTGTGAACTAAAAATTGTCACAATTTCTATGTATCATTAATAAAATGACCTTTAACAACACTTTAATCTTAGTTGTTTTTTGTGATGTTAAATAGTGCAACAAAACAAACTTCAGTCTCTGAACATTAAATTATCCAAGCTGATATAAAGTATTTTATGTAAACTGTGTTGATTTACTTAAATGTTATTTCACATAATCCATTCCACAACATGTCCGATTGAATTTGATGAATCGTGATAACGTCAAAATTCTAACCAAAGATTTCCCTCACATGTTCCTTTTTCTTTCGTGGGTTAAAAATTTTTGGATATTAATAAATCATCATCAATGTAACCGTTTGTCTAATCCGTTTAAACACATCTCACAATCAGGATACAAATCATCATATCACCTGGTATAATGTACCCCCGTTTGGAGTATCTCGATTAGTGTAAAATGATGAAATAGTAAACAATTACCATTTGGCGAAATTTCGCTTGTAATTTTTTCAACAGAAATAAAAGTATACTGTTGAATGAAATGTATTCCCTTCGTAGTTTGTTATTTTATGGCATAGTTCAACATTTATTACTCCGATAATGATTGAGGAAATATGAAGTTTGTTTCCCTCAATGATTCATATGATTCAATGTCATGGGCCGTATTCATGTAACATCTCTTCCTGTTCATATCAGATTCTGTGCTCAAGCCGAGTTTCTTGACTGGGTGATAAATTCACATAAAACCCCCATTTCGCTCATGATTTCGAAGAGATTTGGAGAGACTTCAAGCCAAATACCGTTTTCATTATTAACACTTTACTTTTTGACCGGGTCACCTATTGAACCCTTTCACCACTATAGACCATAATAGACTCATCCAGATCAATGCATGGTAGAGTTTATCAAAGTTACATAGGGGTGAAATGGTTAAACGAGTGACGAGAAAGTTGAGTACATGAATCCATGTTTGAACATGAGAACGGTTTCTTGAATGATTGGCGTCATAGCATAGGTGCTGCCCTTGCATATGGGATACGTGAATATTTCAACATTTATATCGTACATCACTGAGAGGTCAATAACAATTATTAAAGGTTAATAAATGTTTTTTTACGAATGTATTGCATCGAGGAACTCTGCAGAAGCGTTGCTCGTCTATTTCCCGTAACAAAACCAACTTTATTTTTATTAATCAACGTAGAGTCAAACTAGGCGTCAAAGCCGAAGATGATGGTGCCGACTGTGACGTCATGGTGATGTAAAATTATTACTGACACTGTAAAATTAAAGGACCACCACGTACCAGCTCTAATTCAACCTGACCGAGTGGCAATAATTTCATAGTACATCGTGGTTGAACTCCTGAGTAATGTAGCTGTATATGCGTATGATCAGGCATATACAGCTAAATTATGGTCAGTCACAACACTATTACGTCACAGACCGGCATAGATAAAAGCAGCACTACACTTGAATTTAGTAGATAGACTTAATTCAGAAATTAAAGAAAGTTAACTACAGTGTCACTGTCTTATAGACTTGGTTCATTGACTACACAGTGGTTATTCGTATACACGGTAACCTCCCCTTAATTTCGTTTTAGGTATAACCGTAGCACAGTTGACCATTCTGTTGACAAGGCAGCTTAGTGGATAAGAGTTACAGTATAACAATTTGAAGTCCAGAGTTCGAACCCTGCTCTTGTTCTATTTACACTCAGAACACTGTTGTCTATTATATTTTGCTTATATCATCTTGATTGTATTCATAAAAATTCGTCAAGATATGGGTTTTTTTCAAAATCTATTCCGTCTTTGCGTATTGCAGAGTTATCTTCTCTTGTGAGGTATTGATTGTTACGTCATTTGTTTATGAGAGTAACGTCATCAATTTTCGAGAGAACGACGTAATTTTCTCACACAAGCCAATGACGTAACAATCAATACCTGCTCACAAGAGAAGATAACTCTGCAATACGCATAGATGGAATAGTACTAGTAATGACAGAAAAAAAAGTGTCCAATGAGTAGAGTAACAACTTTTGACGGTGGTACAAATGGGAAAATTTGGGATGGATAATATTATTAACTTTATCCAAGCTATCAACGCGTGTTAATAGCCATCGGTTGGGAGGACGGGTGCGTATTGATCGCTGTACTCTTACGATAAATATGCAATATATAAAATGTCTTCACAAGAGAAGCCACAATCACAGCAGTGTACTCAATAAGATTTGTTTTTTTACCGGGTTACATATTTAGACGTAGTCTAGTTTACAATACGGCCCTGTTATGCATATATGTATAGACTTAATAAGACAATTATAATGGTAGAATGATGATAAATACAATCTTAATAAAAGATGCATATATATATACTTTGATAAATATCACAGATATCATTATGTATCATACTTAATACTTACTGTAAAACATTTCTATGTATTTCTTTTTAAAAACATCTACACTGCACGACTG